CTGCGAGACTTCTGTCGTGCGGAGGGCATCCGCCAGACGTTCACGCTTCCGGCCTCTCCGCAGCAAAATGGGATTGCTGAGCGCCGCATTGGCATGGTCATGGACGTCGCTCGTACGTCCATGATCCATGCGGCTGCTCCCCATTTTCTGTGGCTGTTCGCGGTTCAGTACGCTGCGCATCAGCTCAACCTCCAGCCCCGGGTCTCCATGCCGGAGACCACACCAACTCTGCGGTGGACGGGGAAGGTTGGTGATGCGTCTGCGTTCCGTGTCTGGGGATCTCGAGCTTCCATTCGCGACTTGTCTGCGGACAAGCTGTCCTCCCGTGCTGTTCCCTGCGTCTTCCTAGGCTTCCCCCCTGACGCGCGTGGTTGGCAGTTTTACCACCCCACCTCGCGCCGTGTTCTGTCCTCTCAGGACGTCACGTTTGACGAGTCGGTTCCTTACTACCGTCTCTTCCCCTACCGCACTGCCCCCCTCTCCCCCCCGTCGCTCTTCCTCGTGCCTGGTCCCCCCCCGGTAGACCCCCTCCCCCCTCAGGGTCCTGCCCCCTCCGGTGTGTCCCAGGTAGACGCGGTCGAGCCGGTCGAGGTAGCTGTTGACTCTGGCGCTGCTAGGGGTTCTGAGCCTGAGCGTGCGGAGCTTGGGAGTGCTGGGTCTGGGGGTGCTGAGTTTGGGGGTGCTGAGTCTGGGGGTGCTGAGCCCGGGGGTGCTGCGCCTGGGGTTGCTGAGTTTGAGGGTGCGGAGCCTGAGGGTGCTGAGCCTGCGCGTGTGGAGTCTGGAGGTGCTGAGCCTGGAGGTCCCTCGGGTGCTTCGTCTCGACGGGAGCCTCTCTCTCCACAACAGCTGCGCGAGTGGTTTGCTCGGCGCTGGAGCCGTGTTGCTGGAGCTGGTGGTGCTACGGACGCTGGAGGTCCTGCTGCTGCTGGAGCTGCTGGGGGTTCTTGAGCCACTGGTCCTAGAGGTGCTCGTACTGGAGGTATTGGAGCGGCTGGGCCTGGTGGTACTGCAGGAGCTTGAGCTGGAGCTACTGGAGGTGCTAGTGCAGGTGCTGCTGGAGGTGCTGGAGCTGGCACTACTAGGGCTGCTGGAGCTTCTGGTGGTCCTGCTGGAGCTGGAGCTGCTGGGGGTGCTGGAGCTGGAGGTGCTGTTGGAGCCGGTGCTCCTGTGGGTGCTGGAGTTGGCGCTTCTGGTGCTGTTGGAGCTGCTGCTGGAGCTGGTGGTGCTGCTGGAGTTGGAGCTGTCATTGGGGGTGCTGGTGCTGTCCCTGCTGGTTCTGGAGGCGCTGCGCGGCCGCGGCCGTACTACGTTCCGCTCCTTCAGCAGGTTCTTGGTCTTCCGCCTTCTACTGGTCTTGCTCCTTCCTTAGAGTGTCCACCGCCTGTCCAGTCGCAGTCACAGTTACAGCCCGCCTCCCCACTGCCAGCTCCTTCTCCTTACACTGGTCCGACTGGAGGTCTTGCTGAGCGTCGTGAGCCTGCGTCGATCGCCTCTTCCCGATCCGCTCAGAATCATCCTCCGTCTCTGAACCTGAAGCACGCATACAATCGACGCGTGCGTCTTTTCCGCCTACTACGTTGGGATCCGACAGGGAGATATTGTGTGCTTGGCCGCCGGTGGCATATGCAAGCGAGCTTAGGAGATTTGTACAGAGGGAGAGTGAAACGAGGAGGAGAAGCTGGGTGAACAGAGCTGAGGACGAGGTTCGGCCCGAGCCTCGTCCGAAGGCTTGGCACCTCGTTCCGCGAGCATGGTACTTGGGGTGTTGCGCTGGTGAGAGGCTAGTAGATAGTGTGACTGTACAGAGCCCAGCAAGCGTCACGCGAAGCACTGAATCTGGACGCATTGTGAGATATGCACGGGTTCTACGGGTCTAGCTACAAGCAAGAAACGGAAGGAACTAGATGCTGCAGGGTCTGCAGCTGACGCTAGTGTAGCGCAATTATTAGTTGAAAGGATTTAGTGGAGCGCTTTGAACGAATATTTCGAAAAGCTGTGGAACCAGTGATACGGGAGACGGTCGTCTTTTAATGCTCAACGTTCGTCTGGCGCTTTTGTCAAGCGAAGGGAAAAGTGTCGAGCAGTTTTGGGGTTGCGGACGTTGGAAACTGAGAGATAACTCAGCTGCAGCCTACTGGAATGAAAACTATGCGTGGCCTCGGTCCTCGGTTTATAGATCATGCTGTGTAAACAAATTAAGCAGGCTTTTGCGCGTCGCACTCAGAGTTTAAGGCTCACGGTCCTCGGAAGATCAAATCGACGAGGATACGAAAGCAACGCGCGGCTCCAAAAATGGTTTTATGTTCGCTCAGGGAGCCTAGAGCGCAGGTGGTCTCTCGGTGACTTCGATTGGTCACACACACCCGCCTCGCATCCAGTGTGGTTCATGGAGGGAGGGATAATGGAGAAACGAGAATTGCCTTGGGCTTGACTATCTCACCGTTTTCGGTGGGAGGCTGGCGGTGGGGTTGATCGTGCGAACGTTTCGTAGATGCGAAGTTTCGCCTCTGGTGTGATGGACGGCAATGGAAGGGGTTCCTGTAAGGCGAAACAAAATCCGAGACTGCGAGTAACTGGGGAGCTTTTATTTCGTCAACGCATCGCCAATCGTTTGTCGCTACTCCCCTGACGTGGTTTAAGAGTTTTAGTAGGATTCAGTGCGGTGAAGTTGATCCTGGCAAGCAGGGGCTCAACACGTTCCAGATGTGACATTACTTCAGCTTGTGACATGAGAAGTAGCCAATCAAGCTTATACCAGAGATGCCACGCAGAAGCAAATTCCCAAGCATTTTCTAATCGTTCCCCTTGGAAAAGAGCCTGCCGAGCTACCTAGATTCTGACGCTGCTTCAATCCAGCTGCTTCAGGAGTTCCTTCCACGTCACGTCAGATTGAGCTCACAATGGAGACGGCAACCGAAGTCCTTCTGGAAGAAGTTACAAGGGGAGCGATGCGATTAGCGATTCGGTTTGACGAAATTAGGCTGGATTTAGAGGACGAAGAAAACGAGCAGAGGGTAAGGATCAATGAGAGAGTGGGAAGTGTGGAGGCAGCGATGGAAGGTTTGAGGGAGAGAGTGGTCGCTTTGGAAGCAATAAATAAGGCCAGTAGAAGTAGCATTAATGAGCGGGTGCTTAAGTTAGCTTGTGATACGGGTAAGCAGGAGAAGGATAAGGAAATAGCTGATCTGAAGGCACGATATTTGGAGGCAGAAGCGAAGAAGAAAAAAGAGTTGGCTGCTTTGACAACACGAGTATCGCAGGCAGAGACAGTTCAGAGGAAAGAGATGGCTGCACTGGCAGCACGGATTTCGCAGGTAGAAACAGAGAAGGAAAAGGAGGTCACGGCACTGAGAGCACGATTATCGGAGGCAGAGACAGCGCTGGTACAGCAGAAGCGAGAAGTGATTCAGATTTGGGAGGTGAGAAATGCTGGTACTGTATACGAGTTTATCTGCTCAATCTCAGTACCTAATATTTCTTTTTAGTTTCATTTCAGGCTATTACATTGGCTTCTTGTCAGCAAACTACCGATGCGGATAAAAAGATCATACGTGCCACGGATACTACCAAAGTGGAACTCAGTAACCTTGAACCCTTATCTGCCATTGGCAGTTATCGCCTCGCCTGCTTGACATCCCTGAAGAGCCTCAGCATTTGCGGATCTGTCAATGAAGCCGCCTTAAAATACCTTCCATCAATGCCCTGGTTGGAGGAGCTGAAGTTACAATCAACCAAAGTTGATGATTCTGTGATTTTGGGAATCAGCCATTTGCCGAATCTGCATCGGCTGAATTTGATTGAGACTGCAGTTACAGAAGTTGGGCTCGGACATTTGACATCTCTAAGCTCCCTTGAAGACCTCTTCTTCTCTCGCAGCTATAACTGCTCGTGTTCCTATGACAGTCTTACTTTCTCCTTTGCAGGACTTGCAAATCTAGGGAAGCTGACATGGCTTCAAACGTTGGATCTTGGGAATTCGTTGGTGTCAGATGGCGCACTGCCACATCTTCGGCCTTTGACGAAACTCTCTTGGCTCTGCCTCCCAGAGTACATCACTGAACAGGGACTCCAGCATCTGACATGCTTTCGGAATCTCAAGACTATCTATTTAAAATCACCATTTGGTGAATATGGCATTGCGTGTTTGAGGGCTCTTCCCAGCCTGGAAGATGTTGGGCTTGCAGATTATTGGATGGTAGACAGAGTGAAGCCGGCTCTTCCTGGAGTGGATGTTTTCTACTTCAAGAAATACGGTAAGCTATCTGGGTTTGTCCCGTGTGTTTCAGGCGAATGCTCCCTGCTTCTAACTGCTCATTTGCTATTTAATGGGCTTTGTTGTGTACAACAAACATTCGCAACTGTTTTCCTTTCTTTCTGCAGACCATGGTAATAACAGTACCGTATAAGGATTAATAATAAAGTTGGATATTTACCACGGACCACAATGTCAAAACAGTGGTCTTACCGTATTACCCCGGATATAAGCGCACCTGCGCTTATAATAAAATAGTGTTTTTTTGGGGGGTGCGCTTATAATTGAGTAAAAATTATAAGCGCATGCGCTTATAATATAACAAATACAAATATATATTTCAATGCACCAAATTGTACATCTCATCCTTCAGATTTCAATCGAATCGAAATTGTAGAAAGTCACATGTCAAAATCGCGCGCGGGCGATTCTTCGCGAGCGCCCAGAGGCAAAATACAGTGTAACACCTCACTTTGAGGGCGTGCCAGCTCGTGCTGACTGGACGCGCAGGATGTGAGAGGTCTTCGAAAGTCGATGTAAGCGAAAATGGGTTGTGGCCTCGCTGCAAAACTGAGATTCGTTACCGTTTTAATGAAGAATTATAAATAAAATTACACATGCGCTTATAATATATCAGGGTTTTATAAGGGGTGCGCTTATAATTGAGGATCGGCCATAAGCGCATTGCTCCAGATACAAGCGCATGCGCTTTTAATAGGCCTGCGCTTATATCCGGGGCCATACGGTATCAGTACAATTTAAGCACATCCTTGATTTTCCTATTGCAGAGAGGGCACTTGCCGCGCCGGTCCCTGACCTCTTGAGCACACGTGCGGCACAGCATGTGACCACACGGCACAAACGCTGCCTTCCTCGGCCTCTCCATGCACACACAGCACACCGCCTCCCCAGGCTCCCCTTCCTCTTCTCCACTCGCCTCAACATCCTCTCCAGCTACTGTTCCTCCTATACTCTCTCCCCCTCTTCTCCCTCTTACCGCTCCTCCCCCACGCCTACCCCTGCGCCCCTCCTCTTCCTGCTCCTCTGCTCCTCCCCTCTGTCGTTCCACCCCAACTTGCCTTCTGCTGCTGGATACCCCGCCCCCCCAAGCGTGTGTGTGGGTGAGAGCAGGGCTCTGGGTTCGCCTGGATGACACTTGAATCGGCGGGCCTCCCAGCACTGCTACCAGTGGCACTCCTGCTCCTGCTACACTGCCTGCTACAGTACCTGATGTGCTACGTGCTACATTACCCCCTACAGCACCTGCTACAGTGCCTGCTGTTCCAATGCCGATGCCACTCCCTGCCCCAGCGTTTGTTCCTGCTGCTGCCATTGCTGCCACGACACGCGCTGATGCTGGAAGCCTCATTGAGACAGCAGGACGAGAAGAATCGATACCACTAGAACCTGGAGCAGCAGCAGCGGTAGCAGAACTGCTGGTAAGCAGAGTGGATGAGGAGGAGGAGCCGAAGAGGGCTTGCTCAATCGCAGCATCAATCAGTGCCTGTTCGTCCCTGCCTCCTCCACGGCTCTGCTGCAACTGCTCGTACAGCTGGTGCTGCTGCTGGTGGGTCAGACTCTGCTGCTGGCTCTCCTCCCCTTCTCCTGCTTCTCCATCCTCGTTAATAGGTGATTCGCCACGGGTCAACAGCATGCGCTGCAGCCGAAGCAGCAGGAGACGCTGCCGCTGCTGCTGCCTCTGCTCGTGCATCCTCAACACCACCTCCCCTCGGCTGCTGCCACCAGTCACACCACTCACACCCTCACCACCAGCAGCACCACTACTCCCAACAGCACCACCACCGCTAAAGCTGTTGCTTGAATGCAACACCCCAGAGCCTGTGTGGCCATCTCTCCCCCTTCGAGCCAACGGGGAGCCCATGCGTGCTCCCGTGGGCACAGGCAAGGCGGTATTGACAGTGGTCATCTGTGTGGCACCTGAACTCACCACCCTGCGGAAACGAGCAGGACTTACCCTTTCTGGCGCAACCACTCTCGTCACCTCTGCTCCTACTCGCCCCCCCTCTGCCTCCTCTCTCCCCTCCACTGCTGCCACTCTCCAATTGCCCCCCTCTCTCCCTTCCTCTGCCACCCCTCTGGTCTCCCCAAATCCACTAGCTCCTTCTGGTGCTCCAACTGCTGTCCACTGACTTGCTACAGCTGCTGCCGGTGCCGCTGCTGCTGCTGGTGCCGCTGACGCTGCCGCTGCTACAGCTGTTAACGGCGCAGCGCTTGCTGCAGTGCCTGCCTCCTCGCCTCGTGCCGGGGAAAACAGAACCCACTCAGTTGTGGGAGACAATGCTGCTGCAGCCATTGCGCCTGCGCCTGCTGTTGCTGTTGCCCCTGCTGCTGTTTCTGCCCCAGCTGCTGCTGTTGCACCTGGCAACGGCCCATTATCATGCTGTTGGTATGTCTGATGCCAGGGCACAGGGGGGCCCGGGGCGAATACAGCAGGAGGGGCAGAAGGGACAGGAGGGGTAGAAAGGGAATACCCAGCAGAAGCAGCATAGCTGGCGGCCAGCATCGGCACCGGGGTTGGATCACAAGTTGGCAGATTGGACGGATGGGATGGGTCAAACGGATTAGTGGGAGCGTGGGGGACAGGAGCAAGGCTGAACTCAAATGGATTGGAGGGTGTGGAATGCGAAGGCTCCTGACCCATAGAGGGGAGGAGCTGTATGCCTATAGATTGCTGCAGTATTGTCTGCTGTAAGGCAGGCTGTAAGGCCTGTAGTGAGGTCTGCTGTGTGTCATGAGTGTAAGGCAGCAGCACCTGTGGTGGTGTGCCCATGGATGGTGCTTGTGGTAACACGGTAACCTGATAACCCTGTGGCTGTGGCGCATCTGTGTTCGAATGAACGAATGAATGGAAAGCACCTGCTGCTGTTACTGCTGCTGCTGCTTCGCCAATGGAAGAGGGACTGGGCATGGAAAGTGTTGACGGGAAAGGGGCAGGTGCAACAGGGGGAGGTGCGATAGGGGGAGGCGCGATGGGGTGAGGTGCGATAGGGGGAGGCGCGACGGGGGAAGGTGCGATGGGGGGAGGCGCGACAGGGGAAGGTGCGATGGTGTGAGGTGCAATAGTGGGAGGTGCAATGGTGTGAGGTGCAATAGAGGGAGGTGCAGTGGTGTGAGGTGCATAGGGACCTGTGGCTGCTGTTGACGCTGTCTGGCTGCTACCAGCTTCAGGTGCTTCCTCAGGTGTTTGGACTTGTCTTGTGCCAGGAGCCGCATCAGGTGCTGCATCCGGCGCTGAACGAGGTGTCTCACCAGTACAAGCAGCGGCACAGGGTGGTTGAGTCCCACCCTCATCGACCTCTGAAGGGGCGATGGCTGCTGGTACAAAAGAAGCCACAACTGCATTCGCCCCTCTCTCTGCAGCACCACAACCTGATGGCACACCCCCTGCTATGTCAATACCCTCGGCCGGCTCTGCAATGCCAACCGCCTGTTGCTGCACCTCACAAGTTGCACCTCTGCTGCTGCCTGCTGCTGCCCCCACTGCCACTGCCAAACCGACCGCTAGCCTGTCACTAACACCACGGTCTTCCACTCCCTCAGAGCATTCCTCGTTCCTTGCATTGTCGTCCCGAGCGCCTTGCTCGTTCAAAGAGCCGGCCTCTTGCAGACAGCCACCCTCTTCCAACACATTCTCCGACCCAATCGGTTCCCCAACCTCCTCACCTTCTGCCGAACTTTCACCCGATGCTGTAGGCTCGGCAGGTGAGCAGACTCCGTTCACAACACTGTTTGCAGCACCACAGCTCACCAACTCCCCCCCTGCCCCTGCCACTCCTGTACCTCCTGATGTATCTACCTCTGAGTCTCCTGCTGCTGCATCCCCAGCTGTCCTCACCACCTCCTCACCACCTAACCTCTCCCTCCCCCTCTCTACAGCCACCCCTGTGGTCTCCTCAATCTCTCCCGAACCACCACTCCCTGCTTGCCGTAGCAACGCTCCCGAACCACTGTTCGCCTCGCTCTCTTCCACTACTCCCAAAGCAGCACTCCTCTCTTCTACTGCTCCTAAAGCGTCCTCCCTTTCTTCTGCCGCAACCCTTCTCACGTTGTCACTAACTCCACCCTCAGGTTCTGCAGGAATATTTTCTTCCTCTTCACCCTCCATCGCTCCACCCCTCCTATCTGTTTCATTCGCCTCCAGATCACTATCACCGCTCTGCACTCCCTCCGATCGTGCCCCTGGCGCAGCCCCCGTTGCTCTTCTGTCCCCTCCACTTCCTCTCTGCCTGACTTGCCTGCCCGCTAGCCCATGCACAGACACGCGACGCCGACCCAACCTGCGCTGACTCGACGCAGACTGCGGCTGACTCAGCAGAAGCTGACCTGGCACGAGATGCTGCTGCCCCGAACCCACCTCCTGCTGCTCTGGCAGCTGCTGACGCGGATTCTGCTGGCTCTGACTCAGCGCACGGGGCCGCGTGTCACGACGGGATTGGCCGGTACGAGGGGCATGGGAGGGGGAGGAGAGGAGGGAGGGGAGGGGCGAGAACTGGTTCCTCAGGCGCTGCTGCTGCTGCTGCCAGCGCCACAAGGCTCGGCTCCTCATGCCCTCTCCACTGCGAGCACTCAAGGCATGCGCAGTTGCACTTGCAGCTGATGCCCCATGCACCTGTGTAGCAGCAACGCCCCCAGCACTGGCAGCAGAAATATCCCCATTAAAAGCATTCTCGGTATTTGCTGCATCTACTCCATCCGGGTAATCACCTTCACCTTCCCTGTTAACATGTTCACCTTCTCCGTGTCTCCCTCCTGCCCTTCTACCAATTACCCCGCCTTCTCTAGTGCGCACTCTCCTTCTCATGCACATGTGCCATGTCTCCCCTTCGTCCTCTTCCTCATCCTCTTCCTCTTCACTCGCTTCTTCTGCCGTTGCTGCTCGCACTGCTCTCCGCTCTGCTCCTCCTGTTCCTCCTACTTCTTCCATCTCGCCTTCTCCAGCTTCTCCTGCCCCGTTTACACGCCACTCAGCCACATCAGCACCTTCCCTCGGCGAATCACGAGGCGACGAGCAAGGAGCAGCAGGCACTCTCCCAGCCACACCACCTCCTCCACCGATTCCCACATCCTCTGATCCATCACCATCACCAACGTCATCCTGCCTAAAGCAGAGTGATCTGCCAGTGCCAGTGCCAGTGCCAGTGCCCGTGCCAGTGCCAGTGCCAGTGCCAGTGCCAGTGCCAGTGCCAGTGCCAGTGCCAGTGCCAGTGCCAGTGCCAGTGCCAGTGCCAGTGCCAGTGCCAGTGCCAGTACCAGTGCCCGTGCCCGTGGTCCTGTGCACAGGGCGCACAGGGCGCAGCACCACAGGGCACGCCACACACAGGTAAGCCGAGGAGCCGGTGAGGAGCCACCAGCGCCGCGGCGCCCGCTCACTGCCCGCCCCCCTTCCCTGCACCCTGCCATCAGACTCTCCCTCCTCCACCACATGCCGCATGGAAGGCAGCCTAGAGAAACGAGCGTCCGCATGCACCGAGGAAAGGCGCGTGGCTGCATCGCTCAGATAGTCTCCTCCTGCTTCTCCCTCTCCTTCTGCTTCTCCCTCTCCTTCTGCTTCTCCCTCTCCTTCTGCAGCTCTGCACTCCTCTTCTCCCTGGTCCGGCAACTCGTCCTGCCTCTCCTCCTCTTGTATCTCGTGCAATGCATTCTCTGCCCTCGTTCTTTCTCCTCCTCTCCCTCTCCCTCTTCTCGCTGCTCCTCCCCCTCTCACCCCCCTCCCTCCTCTTCCACGCCTTGTGTTGTCAGCACCACCAGCACTACCTCCCCCCTCCCTCCCCTCCCCTACCACAGACATATCTCCTCCTGGTCCTGATCCTTCTCCCTCTAATCCACCTGCCGCCATTCCCAAGCTTCCATCTACCCCTGATTCTGCCCCTCCCACCACTCTCCCCCTTGCCGCACTCCCCCTTATCCCAACATCCGCAACTCCCCCAACACTCCCCTCTGCCCCTCCCTCTCGCCTCACCTCCCCAGATCTCAACCCCCCAACAGGCCTCAATGTAGCTCGCTGATTCCCCATCCCAATCTCCTCACCACCCCCTCTACCACCCTCACTCCTTCCTCTCAACCTCTCACCCGCCCTCCTCACCCCGCGCCCGCCATCCATAGTCTGACTCCCACTCACCCTACTATTTCCACCACCCCTGGTACGGTTTTCACCCCGCGACTGTGAAAAGTGACCTCCTCCGTGGGGGTTGTTTTGACTCCCCACTCCCAACGCCCCAGGAGCACCTCGGGAGTGGTTTCCTGCTCCCAGCACAGCAGGAGCCACACACTCGTTCCGAAACAGCCCCCGACGAGCAGCAATGCGCACAGGAGTTAGGAAGCACTGGTTGGGCGGCATGGCCCGGGGAATCTGGTGATTGTTGTGACTGTAACGAGCGGCTTGACGGGCTGAGCTGTGTGACAATAGCGAAGGGTGGTCTGTGCGAGCAGCACCAGAAGGGTTTCCCAGGCCAGCAGTGGGAGCGGGAGCAAAAGCAGACGCTGCTGCTGCTGCGGCGGCTGCGGCTGCGGCTGCAGCTGCTGCTGCTGAGGGTAGGATGAGCACTTCGTCTTCTTCTGCTTCTATTACTGGCACGATCTCAGTCGGCGGCTCAAATCTGGCATCAACATTCTGCTCCGGATTCGATTCAAGATTTGATTCTGCAACAGGGTCGAGCTGCGACGCCATTGGCTGGGAGTCGATCCACTGTTTCACCGCCACAGTGCGGCGGACAGCAGAGGAGGTAGAGAAGATAGATTGGGGCGGGGAGGCGGAGGAGGAGGAAACGGAGGAGGAGGAAGGGTGTGAGAGGTGTTTTTGCGCGAGGTTGTGTGTCGAGGAGTCGAGGCTTGAGGCGGCACCAGCTCTGATACCATGACGGCCAGGCTGGTTGCTGCTGCTCCTGCCGCTGCCACTGCCACTGCCATTGGCATTACCGTTGCCACTGCTGTTACCAGACCTCCTACCTGCTCCAGTTACCACCTGCCGCAGTGGTTCTTCTGCTAACGCCTCCTCTGCTCTTTCCGCTGCTGCTCTCTCTGCTGCTGCTTGCTCTGCTCCTGCTGCAGCGGCTGCTGCGGCTGCTGCCGCTGCTGTTGCTGCCGCTGCTTCAAACACGCACCCACTCGACCTCTCTGGAAACACATACCCCTCTTGAGGCGCCTCAAAATACGCTGCCCCTGCTGCTGCCGTCGCTGCTGCTGACAGATACCCTCTCGTCCTCTCCGGAAACCCATACCCCTCTCCATCAACCACACGGCTATAGATGCTACAGCTACCCCTCTCGGTGCCAACGCTGGTGTCGCCGATAGTCCCTGCATCCTCCAAGCTCCCGCAGAAAGACAAGTCGCCAGATAGGGACGAGAGAGACCGCCCGACATAGGGACCACCAGCCTCAGCTAGCCCACCTGCCCCACCTGCCCCACCTGCCCCACCTGCCCCACCTGCCCCACCGGGCCCACCTGCCCCACCTGCCCCACCTGCCCCACCGGGCCCACCGGGCCCACCTGCCCCGCCTGCCCCACCGGGCCCACCTGCCCCATCATCTCCTCTCTCACTAGCACCAGCAACGCCAGATTCTGCTGCCCATGCCTCCTCTCCACCAGCTACTTCCTCCTGTCCCCTCCTTTCCCACTCTCCCCTCTCCATCCCTCTCCTCTCCTCCTCCTCCATCCTCCTCTTCTCTTCCTCCCCCTCCCGCGCATCCTCTCGTTCCTCGTCCCTCACTTCCTCCTTTTCCTTATCATCCTCCCCTCCATCCTCCTCCCATTCCACTGCCTCCATCACCATTGCCTCCCTCTTTTTATCTGAACCCTCCTTCCCTTCTTCCTCCTCCACCTCCTCCTCCCCACAATCACACTCACCCTCATCCCCATCCTCCTCCTCTTCCTCCTCCTCCTCTTCCTCATCACTACCTTCCCCCTCCTCCCTCCCTCCATCCACGCCCACCCCCTCCACGACGACAGCTGGCAGCAGCTGATAGGCCCGTCCTGACACGTCATCAACCAGCAGCACACTCTCTCCCCCCTCCAACGCCTGTCTCGCTTGCTCCTCCATTTCCACACTCAGTCGCAGCTCGTGACACACAACCTCCCCCTCCCTCTCTTCCTCCTCCTCCTCGTCACACTCCTCCCCCTCTCCTGCTTCTTCTTCCTCGTCCGCTTCCCTTCTCTCCACCTCCACCCCCAGCTCCTTTCCTTCTCGAAGATACAACCCTCCTTCACTAACCAGCACGCGCTGTCCTCCCTCCACCACCCCTTGTCCACACTCTTCCAAACCCCCTCCTCTCATAATCATCTCCCCTCTCGTCGTGTCCCTCGTGTCGTCTCTCATCTCATCGCTCTTCCCCTCTCTCATCCCCTCTCTTATCTCGTCTCGTCTCTCGTCACACACTGACGCTCGTTCCTCTTGAGAAGCCATGCCACCTTGATCAGGACTCTCTGCTCCCTTGTATCCCAGTAACCGTGTTACCACATTCCCCTCACAAGTATCCACTGCTTCATCCTCTTTCCAGCATTCCACCACCACTGATTCGCCCTCACCACCACCACCACCACCACCAACACCCTTCCCCCTGCTCCTCTTGCCCTCCCCTTCTCCTCCCGACGACCATCCTGCTCCAGACAACCTCCTTTCTCCCGCACCACTCCCCTTCTTCCCTCCCTTTCTCCCCCTTGCCGCCCCTGCCGCCCCGCGTGTACCAGCACCGCGAGCGGCAACACTCACAACAGCACCCTCAAAAACCGCTCGGCTGTCTGCTCCTCCCACAGTAAGCACCGGTAAACCCCCCATTCCCACACCCAAGCCCTTTCCCAATGCATCCTCCCCACTACATCCCCCGTCCCCATCCCCATCCCCGTTCTTATTCTCACCACAACCTTCAATCCCCTGCTCCTTCCTCTTCCCACTGCCAATCTCTGCTCCTACTGTCTCCCCAGCAAGCCCTGCAGCTTTCCTCCCCTTGGGGCCCCACTCTCTACGAGCATTAACCCTGCCACCAGCACCACCAGCAGCAGCAGCATCACCACCAGTAGCAGCAGCAGCAGCAACTCCAGCTGCTCCTCCTCTCCCTTTCCTCCCTGCAACCGCACCCCTCCCCACACCTGCAGCGGCAGCCGCACTTGCTGCTGCTATCTCCAGCTGTCGTATTCTCTCTCCCACCGTCCCTCTCACCCTGCCTTGCCCCATGCCCGCACCTCCACCTCTCCCCCGGCCCCCCGTCCTTTCCCCCTCTCTCTTCCGCCTCGTTCTGCCTGGAGTCATGACAACCCCCGTTGTAAGGCCAGTGTTTCCGCTGCCTATAACGAGGACAACGGTTTCCCCTGCGCTCACCTCCTCTTCTCCTTCCAAACTGTCTAGTCTCACTTCTAGTCGCCTCTCCCCTTCGTCTCCCTCCCCATCTGTATCCATCTCAACCGCATCAGAACGAAGTGTAGCCACTCCATACGCCTGCTTTCCCTTCCCCGTTGCTCCTCTCCCTCTGCTGCTGCCGTTTCCTGTGCCACCAAACCCCGGTGCAGACACCTCCTTGCTAGGCTCACCACCCACTGAAACGCCACAAGCACCGCACCCCACTCCTTCATCCTCCCCGCTTTCTTCACCACCAGCCTCCCTACAAATCGCACCGTCATTTCCCAAACACTCTCCATTCAAACGACTCCCATCCTCTTCCAGCCCGCACCCATCATGTCCTCCGCTCGTGCTCGTGTCTACCTGACAGGGAGTATTCGGCCGTCCCTGCGACGCCTGCTTCCCCTGCTGCCGCCGCTGCACCTGGCTCTTCACAGCACGGGGGGATTTACCCAAGTTTCCACCTGCGGTTTGCCCTTTCCGTCTAGGGGACGATCTGCTTGCGGGACCGAGAACAGACCCCGCTCTAAGCGACCCATCTCTCTTCATTTTTCCGTTCGCAGCGTTAAGGTTAGGGTTAGGGTTACCACTACTACCCAATGCGTCGGATGAGTCTGTGTCTGTGGTGGCGCCGCTGCTGCCGGCACGCCTAACAGCCTTCGCGTTCGCGTTGCCGCCGCCGGAGTTGCTGCCGCTGCCTGCGCTCTTGGTGCCCTTGCTTGTCTTACCGCCTTTCCGAAGCGGCCCTGCTGCTCCTGCGGTTCTTACTGCGGTCTTAGACTGTTCGAAGAGAGACCTCAGCTGCCGCACGCTCACGTTAGACGACAAGCCGGGACTGCTTGGGCGGCGAGGGCTGGCGCGTAGCGCAGCAAGGTCCTGTGGCTGCGGCACTGTAATCTGCTCCGTGTGCTGCCGTAGTTGCTCGGCAGTCAGCTCTGCCGTTTGCCCTGTTACCGGTCCCACTACCTTTTCTGGATCTGCTCTAGACTGCTGCCCCTCTTCCTGCTGTTCGTTCGCTTCCCTATCCTGCCGTATCTGCTCGTCAGTCAGCAATGAAGCTTGCTCTGTCGTCGGCAGAACCCCTGAAGCTAACCGGCCAGGCAAAACCTTTTCTCGTTTTGTTCTAGACTGCTCCTCCTCTCCCTGCTGCTCGTTCGCTCGCTCCTTTCCCTTCCCCTTGTCCTGCGGTTTCCGTTTCGCGGAAGAAGAACGAGGACGGGTAAGCTTTTTTTTCTCCGCCACAATCGCCTGAACCGTTTCGCGTCCCTGATCAGACGACTTTCTTGGCGGCTCGAGAGCCGTTTCCCGAGCCTGGTCAGACTCCGTTACCGTCTCAGAATCCGTCACCTGCTGAGATTCCGGTATCTGGTTAGGAACTACGGCTCCTATCCGCTCGTCCATCGCAAGACTTGCGCATTGCCTTTCGGCAGTTCGAGTTACGGACACCTGATTTACATGATGTCGGTGGTTGTTTGCGGGTGCCTTGGTGTGTGCTGGATCGGATCGGGGTTCTAGTGGTCCCACCGAAAGGTTGGGTGGGGGCGTGGTATCATTTCGGGGAAATGATGAACCAGCCAGGTTAACGACGGTAACTGATATCGGTACAACCACCAATGAGCTGCGAGTATCCTCAATTGCGAAAATAATGACATGCCAGACGACCCTCCGAGCCACGTCGCGCAGTCCTGAGCCTCGAGTCTAGCCAGTTGCACGACGAAACCTTTTCGCGAGCTTGATTTCGCACTATGTCGGGGGAGAGAATTGCTTCAAACCCTTGTTTGGGCCCAGTTCGGCAGGCATTATGGCCATTTTCGCCATTATGGGCATTTTTAACGGGCCCCCAAAAAATGGCGCCTGGGCATTTCCAGGAACAACTTCGAAACTGGACTGTAGCTGCAGTGCACCTTACAATATAGCTCAGCCGACAAGCGAGTCCGCCCGGCGAAGCTCGCTGCCCGCGGGCAAGAAAATAAACCCCAGACAGGCATGCATCCGGTCAGGGAGGCATCAACCCTAAACACAGGGAGGCATGGATTTAGGGTTGATGCCTCCCTCGGATGGCATGCCATCCGATGGGGTTTTAGTTTTTTTCTGCCCGCCGGTCAGGTCGACGGTGGTCGACGGCCGTCGGACCACCGTCGGACCCCGTTGGGTTGAGACATTCATTCGGGAAAATGGCATGAGTGTTCGGTTGGCATTAATTGGGTGTAGATTGATGGCATCAATCGAGATTCCGGGTTTCGCAGAAGGTGCTCGAAAGTTGCCTTGATGGATCGCGTGATCATGTGATTGGCTGGCATATTTGACCAGTCACTTTTGATTGCCCCGAATCACTGATACCCCGCATAGTGCGGGGCCTCGAGGCCGCATGGTGCGGCGGATCAGAAAATGGGCACTTTGCCAGAGAAACTGGGTTCGTGGAAGATTCAGGCAGTTGAAAATGTCAGAATATTATAGCTCATGCATATTGTGTAGGCTATAGTGGGGTAGCCCATAAGGGGTACAACCCAATTAGGGTTAGTACTTGTACCCAATTCATTCATAGTTCATTCATTCCTTGTTTCTTCTCATGGTATCGAGCAGGTTCCCTCGTGGGAACTGTTCCTAGGGCCCACCGTTTTTTTTTCCTGCCCGGAGCGCACTCAGCCCCTGCCCGAGTCGCGCTCCCCTCTCTCGCGCCGCCCTAGCGGCCCCTTCGCGCCGCCCTCGCGGCCCCTTCGAGCCGCCCTCGCGGCTCTGTCGCCCTACCCTAGCGACCCCGCGGCCCCACCCTCGCGGCGCCGGCCGCCTCCCTTCGCGGCCCCGATCCGCCGCCCTCGCGGCCCCCCCCTACTCCGCCGCCCTTCGCGGCCCCTACTCCGCCGCCCTCGCGGCCCCGATCCGCCGCCCTCGCGGCCCCGATCCGCCGCCCTCGCGGCCCCGCTCCGCCGCCCTCGCGGCCCCGATCCGCCGCCCTTCGCGGCCCCTGATCCGCCGCCCTCGCGGCCCCTACTCCGCCGCCCTCGCGGCCCCGATCCGCCGCCCTCGCGGCCCCGATCCGCCGCCCTCGCGGCCCCTACTCCGCCGCCCTCGCGGCCCCTACTCCGCCGCCCTCGCGGCCCCGATCCGCCGCCCTCGCGGCCCCGATCCGCCGCCCTAGCGGCCCCGGCCCCTGCTCCTACGGCCCCGGCCCCTGCTCCTACGGCCCCCACGCCTACTCCTACGAGCAGCCCAGCCGCCGAGCCGCCCAGCAACCGAGCAGCCCAGCCGCTGAGCCGCCGAGCCGCCCAGCAACCGAGCCGCCCAGCCGCCGAGCCGCCCAGCAGCCGAGCCGCCCAGCAGCCGAGCCGCCCAGCCGCCGATACGCCCAGCAGCCGAGCCGCCCAGCAGCCGAGCCGCCCAGCCGCCGAGCCGCCCAGCAGCCGAGCCGCCCAGCAGCCGAGCAGCCGAGCCGCCCAGCAGCCGAGCCGCCCAGCCGTCGAGTCGCCGAGCCGCCCTGCAGCCGAGCCGCCCGAGCCGCCCTGTCCGGTAAGAGCAGCGCCTCTCTCACAGCACTGCCCTCACCCTACTGTTTGCACTGCTAGTCTACTGCTGTCATGGCTACCCCTAGTGTCCTCGCTTTTGACGCTGAGGGTCGGGCCATTGACTTTGAAGTCTGGATAGATGACCTGCAGCTTTTCTTACAGTGCGATAGGGCAGACGGCCTCTCCCTCTTTGACCTCACTTCTGGTGCCTCTCCTGCCCCCGCTGCTGATGCTGACGCCACTGTTCGCTCACAGTGGGCCACGCGCGATGCTGCTGCACGTCTTGCTGTGCGTCGCCACCTACCTACCTCTGAGCGTGCGCACTTTAGCCAGTACAAGAGTGCTCAGACCTTGTACGACGCTGTAGTTGCACGCTACTCCTCCCCTGCCACTGCTGCACTGAGCCGCCTCATGCTACCGTACCTCTTCCCTGACCTTGCTGCCTTTCCCACAGTCGCTGACCTCATTACGCACCTCCGCACTAGTGACACTCGCTACCGCGCTGCGCTTCCTGCTGAGTTCTGCGCCAAGAACCCCCCCCCCATGTACATCACCCTCTACTACATAGTCACCCGTCTCCCTGACTCCCTTCGCGTAGTCAGGGACCACTTCCTCTCGGTTTGCCCCACCACTCTCACCGTTGACCTCCTCGAGAAGGCCCTCCTAGCAGCAGAAAAGAGCATAGTCGCTGTAGGAGCCTCTCGTGGTGACACTCGCACCCCCATCTTTGAGGGGTGTTCCCCCTCCCCTCTTTTGCCCTCTGTTGCCTCTGTTGCTGCGGCCGACCTCGCTGTTTTGGAGTCGGTTGGGGCAGCGTCTACCCCTAGCGGGAGACGCCGCCCTGGAAAGGGCAAAGGGGGCAGGGGCGCTGGAGGAGCTAGCGGGGGCGGTGGAGGCGGCGGTGGAGGCGGTGGAGGAGGTGGGGGTGGCGGTGGGGGTGGTGGCGGGGGTGGAGGTGTAGGTGGCGGCAGTGGAGGCGCAGGCGGCAGCGGCGGTGGCGGAGGGAGCGGAGGTGGCGGCGGTGGAGGAGGAGGCGGCGGAGGAGGTGGAGCTGGTCGGGGTGGCGCTGCGCAGAGGGTCGGCTCCGGTGGTGGTCAGCGCCAGCAGCAGCAGCAGCAGCAGCAGCAGCAGCAGCAGCAGCAGCAGCAGCAGCAGCAGCGCACTCGTGACGTCCCCTCCCCTCAGCAGCTCCGTGAGTGGTACACTGCACGCCAGAGGGGTGGGGGTACTGGTCCGTGCACCTACGTCCTGCGCACCGGCGACCGCGCGGGTGAGCAGTGCGGGGGTGCGCACTCCACCCAGCGCTGCTTTGGCCGCCTGACGGACGCTTGGCGTCACCAGTTCCCTGAGGCCACTGAGATCCCCCGCTGGGGTGAGCTGTCTAGGGCGGGTGTAGCTGTCTTTGACCTTGACTTTGATGCTATTCTTGCTGCCATGTATACTGTGACTATTAGTGATGAGGGTGACTGTTACCGGTGTTTTCCGCCCGACCCGGGCATTGAGACTGCTGCTCTAGGTACTGGTGAGGCTGCTGCTCTAGGTGCTAGCGAGGCTGCTGCTCTAGGTGCGTCTGCTCCCTCAGGTACTGGTGAGTCTGCTCTCTCAGGTTCTGCGTCGGCTTCGGCCTCCCACACCTTCACCCTTGACTCGGGGGCTTCTCGCTCCTTCTTTCGAGACCGCACCACACTCACGCCGCTTGGCCGGCCAGTTGCGGTCTCTCTGGCAGACGCACGAAGCGCACCTCGCGCCTGCTTCGCCTGCGCCATCGCGCGCTCTGCCGTCCTGCCGCCCTTAGCGGCCTGCTTTCGCCGTAGTCGCGGCCCTGCCCTTCGCGCCGCCCTTAGCGGCCCGCTTTCGCCGTACCCGCGGCCCTGCCCTACCCGCCCGCTGCGGCCTGCTTTCGCCGCCCGGCGCGGACCTGCCCCGCCGCCTCTAGTCGCGGCCCTGCTACGTCGCGGCCCCGACGCGTCCCTCCCTGCAGCCACCGAGACGCGGCCCTGCCCTGCTGCCGCCCGGTCGCGGCCCCTTCTCTCCCGCCGCCTCGTC